GTCTCGTCTCCCTGGTTGGGTTCCGAAGGACGATGAACACGTTTGGTTGGACACACTTGCTGATATGGCTAGGAGCCGACCTCAGTGGCGTTCGTGGTGTGAGTTTCTTTGTCCCACCCCATCCCTCTTAGCCTCCCCCTCCAACCACGATCTCATTATTTAGCCTTATATAATTTTGCATAATAATTTTTTGGTGCACAGCAGCCAGCTGGTAGCTTACCAGAACTATGCTCATCCGTTACCGGTAGCTCAGCCGGCTTGCACCAGCTGCTTTTTTTCCTTCTTTTTTCTATGTATTGCGGCACAGTAGCTGAGGTGTTCCCCACCTCTAGCTAACGTGTATGAGGATGATGATGATGATGTTAGTTTGCGAATAAACAGATAACACGCAATGGTACCATCTCGCAATGCCAGTCTTCTTATTGTCTTATTTAGAACGAACATAGACGTTTGAAGGCAAATCGAGTTCACTGTCAGTACGACTGGTACTCAGATCGGACACTAGGTCCACAAGAATTGTAAAGCCCAAGTGAGTAACACTGCACAGCACAGTCGTACTAGACGAACGAACATGTTCCCATGCTTTTGAGCTACAGGCACTTTGTGGATACTGGCACGCTTGTTAACGTACGAGGTTCGAATTAAGTTCCGTCCTGAGTGTTAAAACCAGGATGCCGATGGGCTCTCTCGACTGCTACTCGACAAAATTGTAAACAATGATGATGTCATCAAGAGGTTATTGGTGCTTTCCCTGAGCAGTTAAACAATCTCAGCTCAGACACAGGAAGAATTCCAAAAAGTGACTTAGAAAGAGTACACACTCTGCCACATTCAGAGGTTTCTGCTAAACACCTGGCCACAAAAAAACAAGATCACAGGCGAGTCTCTTCTTTATTACGTGTTGTGTCACAAACTTTCATTTATACTTGGATGTTTAATGGGCTGTGAAAAATTTGCGGCTCCACGAAGCCACGGATGTTAAAGCTCACGCTACATGCTCCCGAAGGTCACCTTAGCATCGTTCACACGAAAAGTAAGATTAACGGATGCTTCTGGGGACTCAGAAAGTCACACAAAATAAAAAACTGGTTCGTTACTGCTCTTTATGTCCAAGTGCAGACAAGTGTTTAAAGCTGGTTTTCACCCCTATACAACCCATTGATTATCCTATGCGACCGTGGACCAAGATAGCATTTGACGTCATGGGTCATCGTAGCTTAGCGCCTCAGACCCAACGCAACGGTTTAGTGGCCACATGCTTTACGGCAAATGGCCGGAAGTCCATTTTTGCCGAGAGGTGACTATTGCCAGCGTTATTCGATGGATGAACTACATGTTCTTCCGTTTCGGAGTACCGAGGGCGATAGGGACAACGGCCAGGATTTTACAAGCCAAAGTTTCTTTCGTTCTTCCAAGTTCACGCCATCAGACACTCATGTACAACTATGGATAATCCAGCGGAAACGGCGTTGTAAGGCTTTACAATCGATCCTTGAAAGTGACTGTCTAGCTATTCGTTTTTATGGCATGCGTTGGAAAGTTGGAGTTATACAAGCATTGTTTGTTTACCGAACTGCACACCACCGCGCCACAGACAAAACGCCAGTTGAATTAAGACTTGCTCGTGCCTTTCGGACAAACTTGAATGCCGCACTTCCGATTCTCGAAACTAATAACTCCGACGAGCTAGGTCGTCGCCATCACTATCAGACCACCCACCAGAAGCTTACTACTCCCATCTAACCCGGAACATTTGTGCAAAATGAAAATAATACTGCGTCCAGAGGACAGTCAACGTTATCGGATCTGAGAAGAATAAGGCGCGCATGTGGAACAGGTACTTAATGACTGGAGCATGATCGCACAGTCAAGGCACGGAGGTTATTCACAATTAGCAGACGAATGGAGCATGTGCCAACGTCCTGTACTGACGAAACTACGCACTGCACGGAGCTACGCCGAACAGGCCGAGAAACACGGAGACCGAAGTGGTTTTGACGCTCCATATGACTAAGCGGAAAAGCTATGTTCCGCACGCCATGGCGCTAGTCTAGGCAGACACTGCCTACGTGCACATAAACCCAGACACGCGTCATCATCATCATCATCATCCTCATCCTCACCATCATCGTCATCATCATCGTCAGGAGCACCATCATCATCATCGTCATCATCAGCATCTTCATCATCATCTTCATCATCATACACGCTAGCCGAGTTTGTGAAACGCACCTCAGCTAATGTGCCATAATAAAAAAGTTAGAGATTAAACCTTACAGCCTACAAAGTTTAAAATGGACATGATGCTAAAATCACATTATGCTTTGGGTTTAGTTTGTCCAACCAAATATATTAATCATCCTAAGGACCCCGGTCAGGCAGTCGGGAAATACTAACCGACACCAACTTATAACGGACGGACTTCATCTCTATAGACCAAGTCATGGCTTGGCCTCCACTCCTCTTCTTCCATTCAGATCTCGGGAGCGCAAACAAGGTTGGATGAAGGGGTCGGTGTGCTGACATGCGCAAGACGTGACCTAGTCATCGGAGCCTGTTACGTGATGTAATGGTGCTGAGCCGTTCACTGGCTCTTTCTTCACCAGATATGAGACTCGGAACGCGCACACGGTTTCAAGCGCTGTTCTCACCAGACATGCTCGAAAGTAACTGGCCTCTTTATGTAGGCTGATCTAATGGGCCAAGTTTCGCAACCGTCCAGGAGGATTGAACGGACGGCTGCATACGTGCACGCAGAGCTGCTTCCCCGTTGGTTCCTTCTCTACCTGTCTCGCTACCTGTATCCAACCTAGTCAGACACCGGTTGGAGTATAGTAGTTTATTTGCCAAACGGCCGCTCTTATTTCGGCTCTTGCTTGTGACCTTTCGTATACAACACTAACAGTCTTGCATACCTCCAATAATCAAAATATGTGTAGGTTTCAACCGAAATCCATTGTTTTTAAACTTATGCATCTTTCACGCTGTAGACATGTTATAAGCGCAATTTGATTGCATCCACCACAAATTCCTTACTTGTCCCTTTCGCCTCTTACGCGGTGTGTCGATATCCAGCAGGTCGCACAGATTGCTCAATTCCTTCGACTTTTGCTGTGTTCATCTTAAGTCATGAATAAGCGCGTCATTCCTCCATCGTTTGCGTGCCTAGCGCATACGCTTCGTTCGCTCGTGGCTATTTCAGCTATTTGGGTCGTTATTGTACGTGACGTGTCAACCGATGCCATCTGTATTTCTCTCTGGTACGTTCACATTTGGTAATTTGCATCGGCAGTGGATGCCGATGATCACATTTTTATCCGGCAACACATCTTTGCATACAGTTTCCAATCACGATATTTTCTATTGATAATTTGCTCATTTCTGATAAAACTATGCTCGCTGTGCCTATTTGATAGTGTCGCGTTTCGTAGAGAATAACCGACTTATTTAGTTAAAAACAAGGTCATTTGTGATCGACAACTAGCCAGCCTTTGGTCAATCGGTGCGCCTCGCGCTACCATAGTAAGTGCTGATTCGGCGTCAGCTCTCTCTGCATGCCTGAGAATGCGGGGTCGCTGATCGCGCAGCAAGACGATGAACGACCCATTGGGGTTGGCTTGATGGGCGGTGTTCAGTAAGTGCTTTTTGATTGTCGAGGCAGCTCGATTTCTCCATTCGCCATACTCTGCTATCACCGACCCCATCTAGCTGCGTAAGTTCAAACGGTGCACCCGACATCGCACCACATGCTTGACGGGAACAACATGCCTCATGTATCCCAACAAGTTGACTTAGGTGCCACCTTTTTTCCGGACTTCAAATCCAGAGTGTTGAGTCAAAAGCTAATGGTAGGGCACCTCGAACAAACCCCACTCTTGGAATGGTCAGCTGGAGAGTACCATCCGCTCTGTCTACTCCATGGCAATGCTCCCACTTGAACAATGAACAATGAACTTATACGGATTAATAAGCGTTGCTTTACAAGTCCCGTTGGCTAGCTGATGTGAATATCGAAATAATAATGATACTACTAGTAGTAAAACGGTTAGTACGTTAGATATGAAAATAAGGACTTATAGTTTACTCCTTTGTAGTCCTGTAATCCGTTTAGATTCACAGCCCCCACAGTTAAGATTTAATAAAAGCCTGGCAAACTCCCGGTGTAGGATGTAGAGGTCCCTCTTTTCCCACTTAATTTTCTTCCTTCACAGTCTATCTGGAGGACGACTGCCGCTGAGCTTAATACATATAAGCCGTCTATTAAACCAAGAGTCCCATTTCACATTGATTCTTTTAACATCCGCACGCTGGGTCAGATCAGTCAACAAGCAAACCTAACTCTCAATCTTCACTTTCTTATAAAACCTGTGCAGCGTTATAAGTTAGATGTAGGCGCGTTCATCTCAAATGTTTGTTTAGGTCCTTTGGCTTTAACATCACTTTTCCTAACGTACTTTATTATTTTCCTATCTATAATGTCATTTCTGTTGTAATGCAGTAAGTCCCCGGCACAAATCGTTGGTGCGCTTACGTCGTTGCTACCACCTCGCTTCTTGCATACGCCGAGTTACTTCGACTATGTTACAAAAACCTTGTAGTAACGGTGATTAAGATGCATCTATCCATTATTATACTCACGTAGTTGACTCCATTTTATGATGTATTATACAATCAAAACTTTCTAACGCTGCTCAGCCTTTAAATGATAGTTTACAGTTGATGTTAGACAATAAAATCGTGCCGACAGCCTCCTCCTAATTAACTTTTATTCCAAATCAGACACCGAAATTTATCTCATTGACCGGAACGGGAAAAGGCGGGCATCCGGAGATGTGTTTGTTCCATTTAACTCTCACGCTAAATTATCTTGCACAACGAATGATACCAGCGGGAAGTTGCTGTGGGAGCGTCAGGTTCCGCATCGGCACATATTCGTTCCTGTGGAGGAATCGCCTTTCGTCTCAGTCGAACACAGCAGAGACAATGAACTGAACCTCCAGTTAAGCAAACTGAGACTCAGTTCTCCTGTGACCTACCGGTTGTCGTGGACCATCCTCAGTACAAGCGGTTCAACTACAAGTTGTTGGAGGTAGGATTTGCGTGGAATAAATGTTTTCCGAATAACTTTTAGCTATTGGCTCCTCTGCAGATACTGTTCCCATCAAAAAAAGAATACAGCCAGTTGGAAAGTATCAGTTCGTGATAAAACATATAGATATGCGAGCCCAACCGACACTACGTTGCCATTTTGCTGTTGGAATGGACGAAACGAATCATACCTCGATAACCTGGAGAGGAGGATTGTATGAATCGAATCCAGAATTGTACGAAAGCTCGGAACACATAAACGGGGGAACTACTGTCTCTAGCTCACTGAAGATTTTGAAGATAGGTAAGCTGTACTTTTCTTTATCAGCTATGATATACCGGCAATGAATGTGAGTTCATGAAAAACGCACATTCGATAAATGCTTTGTTAGGAAAACATAAATATCAGTAAACAAAGTCATCCCGCAAACGTCTTCAGAGGTTGAGAATTGTGCTGACAGTCGAATACTACAATCCGCCTTATCATAAATCCCTGCTCAGTATGATTAGATACTAGACTCAAACTGCCATTACCGAAGTAACGTATGAAACTGCAGACAGCTGCGCCAGTTTTGTCAGCTCCGGATGCTGTATACCGAAATAAAAATTAACTGTTACTGCACCCCATAAAAAAGCCAGACATAACTTTTCTCAGTGATTTCAGTCCATTGTTCGACGCACAGTAACATTTGCAAGCAAATCTCTGTCACACGTACAAAGTCAAACACTTAAACGATAAAAGTTGTCGGAGTGCATGAACATCGTTAATTCAGCAGTTAAACCAACTGCGGACGAGTATCTGGACGTGGTTGCGGCCAATCCCGAATTTTAAATCTTTCGAGTCAGCAAGCACCACCCGAACAAGCATCCAAAACTATTTATTAGTGTGCGTTTTCATACCAGCACTTAACCATTCTAATGTTACCTCGCTCTACTTGGTGAAGCATTGCAGCCGATACAGGTCGGGTTATTCGGTTGCAAGCCAATGGAAGCGCACTATCGTGAATTGCGTAGAGCGACATTAAGCTCGGACACCGTGCAACCTGAACGGAAATAGATTTCAGTAACTTATTAACACAATCTTTTGTTTGTAAGGTGAAGATGAGTTGACAGTTGGCTATAAAATCCGTCTTGCTGTACCCTAGCTTTCCTGCACATGCGGTAATGATAATAAGTATCGCTTTTGCGTGCTGTAAGAAACTTGCTAATTTCAGGAATTTTTGTTTTACGGTCGATTCCTTTGAAGTTCCGAATAAAGTTGCACATAATGTTGGGCTTGGCACACCACTGCCCATCGGGTTACACATTTAGTGGATATGGTGTGAAAATGAACGGCCTAACTCAACTTAGTCAAAAGTGTCTGCACTGATATCTCTAATTTAAACTTGCTGCTTGGGTATGGGGTCTTGGTTCCTATTATCGACGTTTGATGTAGTGCATGCCACCCCTTGAGACCATGGTAGCTTGACGGGAAGCATGTGAACGAAGTCTAGATGCAGCAAGGCCTTTGCAAAGATAAACCTTGAGGCTTAGTGTACCACGGGTTCAGAGCTTAAGTAAACTCTACCAAGGACAAGTACGGTTGGCGTTTAAAATACCTACTATAATTAAGCCCATAGAGCACACATTTTGTATGCAGAAATGCTGATCGAAGAAACTCATCAGACCCGGAAGTGTAACATGTCGACTTCATTGGCGTTATCCCGCTGAAATCATGCAGTTGCGAGAAATGTGTCAGACAACACTCAGATAATAAAACAAGTTCGAGCCGTTTTCGTCTCCCCCGTACAGCGGAAATTACATAACAGTGTCATTGGTTATCGCAGTATTGAATAGTGTGGTTGCGA